AAATGGCGATGATATTATTCAATTTATTCAATTAATATGAAAGAGCGCCTCTTTTAATAATAAAAACAAACAATTCTAGTAGGAGAAAAAGTCAAACCATCCATCCATATATTATATTAGATTTGGCTCTGTGAAATGTAAGCGGCCGCGATTTTTAATAGTTGTGTATTTCATGGGAGGAAAATAATTGTGTTTGATTCAGAGGGATATCATTTGTTAGTCATACATCTTTTAAGAAGCAAAAAAAACTTATTTGAGGATTGTTACAGACAATTAATAAGTGTTGACAGGTGTGTAAACATTCAAATTTAGCGGCTAGGAAATTGGAACACATGGAATTTTTGAAAGGCTGCCTTACAAACTTACGAACGCTGGGTTATTTACTTATTCTTCGGGCTGATGTCTGTCTTTGATTTTCAAGTTATTAGGCAATTATTGCTCGTAGGGTACCAAAAGTCATCAAGAGCAGTTCTGCGTGTGGAAGAAATTGTATTTTTCAGACTGTAAACATGAAACAAAAATTAAGAGACAATATTTGGTGATTGGTAATTTGAATGAATTGTAGTAAGTTTTCATCTTTTTTATTACTTTTGAAATTTCAGTTGTTTATCAATTTCAGCTTTGTTTTTCTCTAAACAGCCCTGAAAATGTCAGAATTGTCAACAATAATAAAATTGAGGTACCGCATGGGGAAAATCTTAAAAAGTAGCCTCATCTCTGAAAAGTGTGAAGTTATATTTTGATAATTTTCACTGTGAAATTATCAAATATAATTTTCACGGATAAATCAGTAATCCACTAAAAAGCATAAATAAGATATAATAATAGTTATGTTATAAACAAGTGACCTTTACAAAATAGTGATATAATAAAAACACATGTACACGCTACAAGATGTTTTTTTTTTCTCCAAATCCTCCAAATCCCAACATCGAGACGCTGACTAGACATGCGCAATATGTATGTATTTATAACCCGACTAAAAGCAATGTTTACTATTCAGTCATACCAATTCACGTAGGCAATGATAGGGGCAATCAGTTGAGTAACATTTTATAAACTTTTGACACAATTATATATTACATGTATTTCAAAAAAGGAATTGACCTAGTACATATGTTCTTTCAAGGATAGGCTTTAAGAATAATTAGATAAGAGCTTTAACAATTAAAGTTAAATGGAAAGTACTTAAGTAATTATACGAGTATAACACTTCATCTCACATAAAAGTGCTATAAGCCCTTATAATGCGACAGTCAGTTTTAAATACAAGTTTAGGCATCAATCATAAGGAAAATGAATGCGATGTCACAGTGTCATTATCAATTTGTATCTATTACTACTCCCCCCTAAAAAACAACAAAATAAACCAGCATATATATCTAACACAAGCTATTTTATTACTATTTGACCTGACAATTTAGAAATGAATATTGGTTACGTCAGGTGGTTGTTGTGCAATCACACTACTTTTTTTATCATACTAGATGTACCGTTTTTACTTTCATCACAAACTTACGGTGCAAATGGTATTTTGCCAATATGTTAATCAGTGTCGAAATGACATAGAGATACTACTAATACACGACTCTGATCTCTTATATCTATTATTTGTGTAGTTAATGCTTCCGCTGGTGGCATTTTAGCATACACCTCTAATGCATGGAAATCAAGTCTTGGTAATAATTTCAGGTGAAAAGTTTCTACGAAAATATTAATATGTGTATCAATTTTACTAACAGTAACAACAGACTTTAATGAAAATGCCCTATATATGAAAAAATTACTTGGAACTAAAATCATAAAGTTATTCTTTTTTTAATTGATTTACTTTTATAATAACCTTGAACCTGTTAACATAATTCATCAGTCGATACCCTCAAATATTATATATGTCACACACTGCTGTTCATCTCTTAAAGCTCCACATTGGAATGGAATCGTACTTTTATGCTGTAATCTTTTGTCTATGAATATTATTTTTGAAATGTAAATAAAGATTACTACGGTTAAGGCTTTCTTGAATAATGCAAATTTACGTTAAGAAAATCAAGCAATTTGGTACGCAATGAAAACGTTTAGCTAAATGGAAGCTAACAAAATGGACCCAGATGTTGCCATATTATTGGTGTATAAATACAACGCATAACTTATACCACTGGCGTGTGAGTTGTTGCACATTCCATTACCTATCATGAACGGTAAAACAAAGTATGTTATTTAACTTGCTATTTGTATTTTGTTCCCATTCCTCCCGATTGATTGACCTTTTCCAGATGCTTTACAAAAGTTTACATACAACAACGTAGAATGTATAAATATTTTCAAAGTTAAGATAAATGAAAAGTACATCCCATTATTTGACAATATATATGCGAAATGATGATGCTCGCGCGACAAATGAAAAGACTAAGTTGTCTAAATCACTAAACTGATATGATGGTAAAATATATGGAAATTAAAAGAAACCAGATTAATTTTATATAATTAAAACCTGAAAAGCGGATGACAAACAAATTGCATAATGCTATTTTAATGTAAATATAAACTAAATAATTTATTTTTTTTATATATTATTATATTAATTTATTACAAACCTTTTCATACACGTTAACTATATTTTTATTTAGAATAGAACGAGACCTTCTGCGAACAGCAACTCCAGTGCTTAAACAGCAGACTTACTTACCCTTGATACTAGTAGTTAACAAATATTTTAAAATTAAAGCGGAAAAAATTTGAAAGTATATTAGTTTGGAGAAAATAAAAATATTATAGATTCAAAGGGGAAAATAATTAGGCAGAATGGCTTCCAGAATTATATGTCCTCTATAAGTGAATTTCAAGTTTGATAGTAAATAAGTACTCATAGTTTAAATTTAATCATTTTGATACTTTTTGAGAAATGTACTTAAACTAAAGATTAGCCAATCTATTTAAAGCAACAATAACTTGTAAAAAAGTGATCAACGTCTCCTGCCTAGGAAAAGTTTACATAAAGCACATAATAGCATTTTTTTCAAACGTTTGAGATATGGATCTAAATGCTATATCTGCACATGCAACATGCAGCAATAATTCATCATAGAAATATAATGAAATAACTTCTGTGTATTTGTCAATAGAAATAGATTTAAACAGTTTATTTCACTCAAAATAAGTATATAAAGGGAGTTAATTTTTTAAAAAATAACATTGGGTTGTGGATCTTTTGCAGTGTTCTCTCCCTGACTATTTATATTTTAGTTTCACTTCAATTTCTCTAAAACCTCAGGAGTAATTCTCTGGACAAGGAAAATACTGACCATAGCTTTGACCTCTAAGTATGACCTTTACTTTGGTGGACGGTGTTTGGCTGCTGCGTTGAAAGTAAGGTCGGGATGTTGCGCATGAAACATCTTATATTTTGTCTTATTTTCATCATCGTAGTTTCGACTTTTCACTATCGTATTTTCGACCCTTCATCATCGACATCTTATCTGTCCTGTCTGGCATGTTCACAGAGGTCATAATAACGGATTAATTTTTTTTTACCAAGGATACATTACAAAGAAGTAATTATGTCGGATTTTGATCACGATGTTAGCATAAGGTTAGTACATTTTTGGTTTGCATTAACTGTATGTATCTATATACTAGCCAATGGTTGTCCGTATTAGCGAGTCCCTAGGAGAGTATAAGTCATTTTATATTTTGGAGGTTAGTGTAAGAAACAGATATAGAAAGGTGACCCAATTCGAGAAGCTTCCCCTGCTTCTTTAACACGCCAAGTGTTTTAGCCTTATACAAGGGTCCTCGGTTTAATGTCTCATCCGAAAGACTAATTAGTAACTTTAGTTGGACAGCCCGGGCATCGAACCAACAATGTCGAGATTATAGGTCTCGCGCTCTAACCGCTTGAGCTATGCGGGCTGGCTTATCTGTTTCGGACTTCCGCACGCCTGGTAAATGATAGAGCTACCTCTTTCGGAGGTATACGGTAAATCGCTCTGTCGCTACTTCCGAGCTAGTGCTTGTCGCTAGAATCAGCTGTCAACAAAGGTAAAGTGTTTTCTTTTTCATATGTTTTGTAAACACTACACCAAATATCGAAATTCTAAGAATTCTATACTATGTCAATTTGATTTAAGTTTCCAGTAGGAGTAAAGTTGATAAATGTGTGTTTGAAATGTAGTTGTAGCGACGTTTCCCAGTCAGCGAATTTAGCGTTGAAATGGACCGTTTTATCATGAAAGAGATGATTTATTCTCCCTTTTTTTCATTTAAACAGAGATCCAAATAAAAATCGAATACGTTTTATGTAGATATTAGGTCTAGAATGCAAATAAGATTTTTATTGGAAAAAACAATAGTTATTAAAGAAAATATATGATATCTATTATGCGAGACAGCTTTGTCGTGAAAATCTTATTTCCATTCTAGACCTAATATCCATATAAAACGTATTCGATTTTAATTTGGATCTCTGTCGAAATGAATAAAGGAGAATAAATCATCTCTTTCATGATATAACGATTTATGACTAGTAGATTTATGACTAGTAGATAACCCCTATTGATTTTTAGGTGACAAGGTCACGGGGATTTTTACTTTATAAGCTTGTCTGCTCAAATGCTTAAGAATGTCTGTCCGCAGTGTTTTGATTTTGACATTTTTATATTTGAAGCATGTAGAATACATAACTTAGCAATGCATTGGCTTAGTAACCTCAAATTTGGCAGAGAGGATGTCCTTGATCTCTTAATGGACACTGTTGATTCTGACAAAGTTGTATGCGGGCACGCCATGACAGTGGCAATTTTAGTTAATCAACAGAATAGAGTAGTTCCATATAACGCATCCATACAGTTCTGGTAAATGTTAAAATAGTTGCTGAATAGAATTTTATTTATGAGAAATTACGTATTGATTGTTAAAATATTAAATAAGATCCTATAGAAAATTTAAAAAAAGACGATATAAATTAAGCATAACATCAAATTAAGAGAAACAAAATGAGAAGGTCTCTGAAATTTATTTCAAACTGATTGATTCAGTTTTAAACAAACATTAATTTCAGTATGTTCGTTCTCTAAGGAGTGTGGAGGTACACCATAATCTTCTCGAAGAGCTACAAAATAAAATGTATTTCGCAATAAACTGAAACACATTTTTTTTCTTCAAATTATTAATGATGTTTTCATTTCTAAGCCACTGTGTCGTCACTGTTTGCAATTTATTTTCTTTCATTTCTATGATATGCGTAAAATATTCCAGTAACTGCAATCTCTCTATGTCAAAAATGAAGAACCGTTTTTTTTTTTGTGTGTGTATTAAATAATAGATATGCTACTTACTCAATTACTTATATCAGGATAAATATATGTACACAAGGCAAACTCGACAACATACCTTGTCATAATAAGAGTCCAGTTCTTGAATAGAAATTTCTCCATCTTTTGCTGAAAATATTTTTGACAGTTTTATTTTACAGCTTATTTCGCATGTCACATTGCTTACCGAAATGTTCTTTTTTTTTGGGGGGGGGGGGGGGGTGTTAAAGGAGCTCTACTGAGATCCAAAATCATAAAACTTAAAATTCTTATACAGATCAACAGGGGCATATAAGAACAGGAAAATATGTGACAGATAATAAAGAAATATAACGCCGATAGTCAGAATTGAAGTCAAAATCTTTTGTTATTGTTATTATTATTTATGATTCTTAGCATTTCTGTGTCATTTGTTTTTTTGTTAAAATGACAAATCTAGAAAATTGGAGTGAATGAATGATCTGTAATTTTGCACACAAGTCATTGGTCAAAACCTACATCAAATCCTGAAGACAATCCAGTCCTTTCATGTAAAGAGAAAACTCAATGGAGTCGAGTAAAAGCATGGTGACACGGACAGTATATTATTGCATTGTTTACCTCTATGTTGCCATTGAAAAAATGAAAATACGCTTTCATAAGTGTTATCGAATTGATGTGAACAGACTAAATATGAGACATTTTCTATGTATATTAATTTGCATAAAAAGTATTTAAAAAAACATACGGTTGATATCAATTTCATGAAATTCTTCAATCTCATCTCGCACTTCCAAACAGTCATCATGATCATGGTCAAAGTGGTTAAACACTGACCATGCAAACTTAAGAGACTCGTGCTGTCGTATCCTTAAGAACTCATGAAAGCTAACGCAGCCATCCTCTACAAAATATTTAACAATAACATATTAAAACAATTGCTAAACCAATGTCTATTTGCATTGGTTATTGTGTAGATTTTCTACTTATTGATAATTATTTTGTTATTGTTAGATATTATGATGATGATTAATTTCGTTTGAGACATACATTTAATGGGAACTAAATAAATATTGACAGGCTGTGTTTATATTAATTTTCTGTATTGTCCACGTGATTCAAAATGTGGATTTTAAAAGATATAACATAGCGTGCACGTGCGTTTTAAAACTGGCAAGAATTATCATATGTTGAATATATATATAATTTCAACCGACAGGCTTTTTACCAGCATAGATAAAAATATCGAATAAATCATTAATAAAACACTTATATGCACGAGTATATGAACACTTACTATCATAGTCTTGTCTTTGAATGCGGTTTTCAAAGTCCACCAGTTCAACAAGTCCGTTATTGTCATAGTCCAACTCTTGGAAATTCTTGTTTAAGTTCTTATTAAATTCATTCAATTCAGCTGCAGTACTGCCAGCATTTTGGCGTTTCAAGCATGTTACTCTGTCAAAATATTTCACATATGTAATGAACTATCTATTGTACAAAATTTATCATCCTCCTAAAATTTCACTTACTTGCATAAGTAGTTTTTTAAAGTTCAGTGTCAAACTATATTTAAATTTGATAATAGTATAGAATCTACGAAAAGAGCCATTTTATTAAAATGCTATTTATTGAAATTCACACATATGTTCACCTTCAAAGAATCAGCTCGGGTACTATTATTCAATAACTATAATGGCATAAATAGGCTAAGCAAATATATTTGTATGACGAGCGCATAAAAGCCGTAACAGTAAGCTATAAAATTCTGTGTTTTACATGAACAAAACAAGCCGGAAGGAAAAATACAAAATGTATAAATTATATATATACATATATGTGAATTGCGTTCTTTTGTTATCTTTTTCATATCAAAACATATAAAATGCGGTTTTGTTTTTTTTCACCTTCAATTTTATTTTAATCTTAATAATTATCTTTAGCTATCCTTACCCGCCAATAAGAAGTAAATAAGCGATATGAATAAGCATCTCTGCGACCTGAAATAGAATAGTTTAAGAACATTTTATATAGATCATCTTGCATAACAAATAATATCTCGTACTTTTCTTTAATTTTTCATCATACACTTGTTATTAATGTTACCAATTTATTGTGAAAATTAGTTTTGCACGTATTTATTATTTAAAAATTGAATCAATGGAGTTTAGTTTTAATATCCGTACGTGTATCTAATTCAACCTTTCTATTCACAAGAGTTTTCTGTAACAGTTTATTTTAACTGAGGTTAATAGTGATTGCAAAGCTCCACAAATGACCTTGATAGATATGTACAACGTTTCACTTTCTTTTCGCTCTGATAAAACTTCAACCTATGAATACCAGTAACATTTGTACTTACATATTTCATTGATGTAAATCACGTGACTTTTGACGTGTTATGGCGCACAAGTATCGAATTCAATCAAAGTACATGTAATTGGTATTTTTCGTTAGGGAACTTACGCAAACCTCTCATACAATATACAATATAATACCTCAGCACTTGCTTTTTGCTTACAAGTATAGTTTGGTTTCGATGGCTGTTTTTGTTTTCCAGTTAAGGGACATTAGATGAAACTCTCCAGCTAATTTACGAGAGTCGGTCGGTCTACGCAGCTGCCTGCGTGTACCTGAAATAATTAAATATACCCTAAATCGTGGTTAAGGTGTCTGCCTCTCAACCAGGGATCATGGGTTCGAGTCCTCATCGATTAATGACCAGTACTGGTTCTTTCAGGAGGCAGACTCGAAAATGATTAATATAAGTTGCAAAAAATTGTTTCGCAATTGAGCTTAGATAAATATGTTTAAACCAAAGCTATACTACTTGACCTAAAATGACTAGGTTCATAACTCATTCCCCTACATTAATTAAAAGAATTATTTTCTATTGAACATTTTGTCCATGTTTTAATTTACCTACGCTTTACCTGAAGAAACTTTTCAAATTTTTTTAATTGTTTCTTACTATTTATCAACCAAATCACATATGACAGTGTTCAAACCTGTGACATCCAACGTACCAATATAGTTACCTACCTATTATTCATATATGATTATATGAAGTGTAATATTTAGATAACACGTACTAAATAGATTGAAATGCAGGCTATTGTGTTTTGAGAATAAAGCATTAAAGCAACACTAGGTACATGTTAATATACATGAACAGAATTATCTTCCTGAGATGATATATATAATTTGTTCAATAATGACTGGTCTGAAAGTAAATATTAAGTCAGACCAGTCTTGTAGTTTATCGTTAGTCATGTTTTATAAAAGAATATACAAATACCGTTTTTTACTTTCCTCTTGAAAACTGAGGCAATATTTTTCTCATTGTAGAAATCATTTTAGGATTATTCGAGATCTGCGCGTCCTCAAACCTAAATGAGTTCATAAATACTGACCCTTGGAATGCCTTAAGTTTTTGTTTTGCTGCTATTTTGCGATAGAATTGAATTTTAAATTGAACTGTATCGTTTAAAATGGTACATATGGTAATTAACAACAAATGCTAATTGATGGTTTCTTTGGGCTAGATGTAATATTGAGAAATTGTTTATTTTCTTTAACAGCTAGTTATAGGCAGAGTTCAAGTCATTGAAAATGATTCTAAGAACTCTGCGGTACAGCTTTCCGGTATTCGTTTAGAAACATAAAAGCCAAACCAATGTGCAGTAGTAGAAATCAGAACTAATTAAATGTTTATAATAGTTAAAAAAAACATTAGAGAATTAAATGCATTTTTTCATATCTAATAACAAAAATATTTTCCGGGTGTAACAGCATCATGCATTTGCATTATAATGTCACATTCAATACACTAGCACATTTCTGTCATGCATGAATTTGGAAGTATTCCTTGATTGAAATGCCTTAATTATTTGTATTGAGCGTGCCCTGCTATGAATTTAGAACAGTCCATTACTTAAATGTTGAAGGCATTTCAATCACGATCAAAATATAAAAATATGCAAACAACACTATGTAGATCCTGGATGTTCCGGTGTGAACATGTAATAAATTTTGACCCCGTTAAAAGGTCATTTTTCAATGTTGAGAACTGAACCTCGGCCATTTTTCGACGTTGAGAATTGGCCCTGCCTACTATTCAATATTAAAGTTTGATCAAAAAAGCATTCATTAAATTTTGATCAAATTACGGTCATTTTATAACATTTAGTTAAATTTTAGTTAAACATCTTTTTGTATGATATACCAGGTGATAAATAATATCTTCTGAAGGTATTACATTGTCGCAGTATGACCCAATTCAAGTTTGCTGAAACTATTCAAAGTTGTGCATTTTAGCTTGTGACATTCACAAGTCTGCTACACCCTAAACACGGGTGGTAACCGTTGCCGATACAATACACATCTCGCAACGGTTACTCCCCCTGATCAGCACAGAAATGTTGAACGGCTGTATAATTCATTCCTTAAGTACCATATAGCTGTCCATTATCAGTAATTGCCAAATTGTAATTAGCTCCTCTTGATTAAAATGAATAAATAATCTGACAGGAATATTTAGCATTATTATTTTGATCACTAGTTGGGAATTTTTATGGTGGGTAGTCATTAAATAATGGGAAGGCATCAATTTTCAACAGAGTCAAAATTTAGTGTTACACAGGCAGGCTTCCTTGCTGTATGTAGTGGATAACCACTTTCAGTTCCAGAGTACTTAAACCTTCACAACTTTTCTGGAATGTAACCCAGGTTAAATTAATGTAGACTTGATCTCTTAATGACCTTTAACATACAAAGGGCTAAACCTGCAAAACTTTTTTGAAACAAAATTGTTGACTTGGTCTCTTAATGACCTTTAAACAAAGAACAACAAACAAATTTGTTTTGGCCTATAGCATTCACAGCTACTCAACTAGGGCATTTTATCAATCATGCAAGACATTCCATACATGATACAAAATGAAATACATGTACTCTTTTCAAACCCATTTCAGATCAATGAGTGTTTTATTGAATAATTTCAAGTATCCCAATTTAGTCATATCAACCCCTTTAGATAACCCATATCTATCTTCCACATGCAGTGTTAATGATGATTTGTACAACAATTATTATCTAAAGGACTTTTAGTATTAATACAGCGATTTTATTCTGGTTCAGTTAACTGGTCAAAGATATTTGTATTGGCCATAAGACAGGCATCAAAATGAGTACATGGATGTCTGACCACAGGTGTCGGTGCATTGATTGGTTATCATTTCTCTTTTTTTGCAGAGAGTGAAGGAAATTGAATTAAAAGCATATATCAAACATCCATGTGAAAAATACTGCAGTTTACATTGTTTTGGAGAGATAGGAGGGTTGTAATGGGTGAAAGGGGGAGGGGGGTTAGTGACCAATCAAAGTGCCGAACACCTGTGTGCCTGAGAACAAATAATAAGTTGATAAGAAATCACCCCTTGAATATCAATTTTATTTATTTTCAACACTGTTCATACATTTTCAAACTAAATCTTCTTGTTTTATATGTGATTAATGTATAATAATGACAGGAATTACAACACAACCTCTGAAAAAACATCCTCTCTCTACAACAGTATCATTTCTTTCCCAATGTAAGACTTCACAATAAATCAAACCTCTGAAGAACAATCCTCTCTCTACAACAACAGTATCATTTTTATTCCCAAAGTAAAACTTCACAATGATTTAATATTCTGTATAGTAGCATCACTCAGCAGCAACCAAAATTTGTGTCTCCAAAAGGGTGGTTGCTATACAGAGGTTGTAATGTTATTACAATTCATACAAAAAATTTTATACATCTATACTGTATATAAAAAAAAATTATAGTAAGAACACACAAAATTTAACGAAGGAAATATGTGTATTTAATATTTACTATCTGAACATCTTCCTGTGTTGTTTGTTTTGAATAATAAATATTAACAGAATGTTTCATTTTGCTGTCAAGAAATTTCTAAATTATCATGATTTCATACCCATTCAATTTTGTTATTATTTGATCTGATGAAACATTTCTGGGAAGCACAGGAATAAACATAAAAATATTGAGCCGTGTCATGACAAAACCAACGTAATGCGTTTGCGACCAGCATGGATCCAGACCAGCCTGCGCTCCCGCGCAGTCTGATCAGGATCCACGCTGTTCGCTTACCAACTCTTACAAGTAGAGAAACTGATAGCGAACACCATGGATCCTGATCAGACTGCGCAGATGCGCAGGCTGGTCTGGATCCATGCTGGTCGCAAACCCATTATGTTGGTTTGTCGTGACGCGGCTAAAATGGCGATATTGAACAGTTTGTTCCCTAAAGTCATTAAAATTTATAGGCCAAAACACTTCTTTATGCAAGGGCCAAAACTCAGCCAGCCATAAATCATTCATGTGTGCAAGTACTTGAGGTACCAATCAATCCAGTAAAGTTTCCATGAAATTGCATTAGTAGAATATACATGTAAGAAGCAGTCCACACAAATCTTTAAAAAGTAAAAATTATTAAAGAGCAATCACTTTGACAAAAATGAATGAACTGAAAAATACGGAATGCCGTTAGGGCCATCGCCTATGAATGTGTTAATCTGAAACGCGATAGTCGATAGTACGATGATGAAAGCACGAAATCACGAAACTACGATGGTGAAAACACGATAGTACGATGATGAAAACGCGATAGTACGATGATGAAAACGCGATAGTACGATGATGAAAACACGACAGTACGATGGTGAAAACGCGATAGTACGATGATGAAAACACGACAGTACGATGATGAAAACGCGATAGTACGATGGTGAAAACGCGATAGTACGATGATGAAAACACGACAGTACGATGATGAAAACGCGAAATCACGAAACTACGATGGTGAAAACGCGACAGTACGATGGTGAAAACACGATAGTTTATCGCGTTTTCATCATCGTAGTATCGTACTGTCGCGTTTTCATCATCGTACTTTCGCGTTTTCATCATCGTACTTTCGCGTTTTCACCATCGTAGTTTCGTGATTTCGCGTTTTCACCATCGTACTATCGACTATCGCGTTTCAGATCAACACATTCATAGGCAATGGCCCTAACGGCATTCCGTAGAAAAATGCTGATGATGTGCTCAACTTAACTTGGTACCAATTGTTCCCATAAATTTAAGTTGAAATTGCACCAGTTGTTTTTTTGAAGTAACCCAGACAAGTTTTGTGACAGACGACGGAGAAGTGATCCCTATATGTCACCATTACTCTGTAGCAGATGACACAAAAAATATATTTATATTTCAAATTAACTTAATAATTAGAATACTAAACAAAATGAATAAAAGTGGAACAAACAATCAACACAGAATAAGTTTTAAGGTTTTATTTAACGATGATACAGACATTTTGACTCTCACAATATTGGTCTCAGGTTTCTAAACCAATCAAAATGCTTCATCTTTGTATTGTTCCTTTTACTTATTACGAATTTAAGAAGACAATATAATAACGAATGTTTCATTTATAGTCTTTCATAGTTTATGGTCAGTACCAATCATAAACAATGTCTATATGGATTCTATTATAACTTTTTTTGCATGGAACACAATTGGAACAACAAGCTGTATTTCTCAGACAGCTACCATGCTTCATGTCACAGTATCAATTCACATGGAAATACTTACTCAAATGTTTAACAGCTTGTCCAGCAAGAATGCGTCCTGAAAATGAAATAATATTTTATCATTCATCGTGAAAACTGTCTTTAGAGAAACAATTCTTACTACTTGAAGTTAAATTATGTCCATAGAAGTCTTGCCTTTGTTATTTATGGCTTTATTAAAAGACAGCTGATCACACTGAAAATAGAGATAAAAATCATACTCTAAGTATATTATTAACATTTATGCTTTTTCAAAAGTTTTCTTTATTCCGTTTCAATCATGATTCCCATTATTTCTTAATCTAACTAAGACTTTGATGGCATTAATTATATAACATAAATATACTGTATTATATGTTAAGAATGCATTTAAATATGTCAAGTTAAGAAAAGAAACATTGATGACATCAATTAATATAATGATGTCCAGTAAATTACCTCATTCTCATCTAAATATAATTTTAATAATTCATCTTCTATAACAAAATCGTAATGGAAATCAATATCAATTTTGTCATCATGTGGAAATGCACTTTCTTGCATTTCAGACTGGTGATTCTGTTAGTTTTACTCATGACGGAAATTTCATTTGGCATGGAGGGTGCCAGACGAGTCACATGCTATACAATGACATTCATAGGATGGTGTTAATTCACCGTTATGAATGAAGTAATATCATATGCTGTTGTAAGAAAACGGTTATGTGTGTTGAATGACATATATTTCCATTAAAATATTGTTTTATTAAGGTAAAGAATTTAAAATATGATTGAATATGGTAGAATAATGCAAGAAAAAATATCTGACATAATTATATTTGTGGTTCGGATTGGAATATCCTTCTCCTGGGAAGCCGCTCATGGGAGTTTTACTGCCTAATTGGCGGTTCCCCTCGGAACCGATATTCCGATCTGAGCAGATATTATTAGCCCATAATACAGATGCTTTGTAATTTATCACTGACAAGCTTAGGGCCTTTATGCAAATCAGAACTAACTGTGCCATAATTAGTATTTTTATGAGCATTAACATTCTGCAAAAGCACAAGGATGCCTTTAAAAGCATAAAAACAAATTTGTGTCCATGGGGGCATGGCGGGGTGTGTAGAGAGGCATTTAATTCAGTCAAATCAGGATTTTTGAGGATTTCATAGTATTTTACTTTAATTTTTTATTTGAAACATATTTCACAGCATGCATGCACTTTAGTTTCTTAGAATCATCAATATTGCATGCAAATTGGCCCAAAATAAAATAAAAAGTTAAAACACTATTTTGAGCTCAAATCATACTTACGTATGTAGAATTGCTAAAAAACTGACTTTAAATTTAATTCTAGTATAACATTGTAAACGTCAATACCAAGTAATGGCCAGCAATGTCTCCCGATAGAGCATATGTGGGATGTGCTTGGCAGAAATGTCCGACGACATCACGCCCCACAGAATATCCTCCAACTGACAAATGCATTGATAGCGGAATTGAACAATCTTCCAAATAACCTTGTTCAACGTTACGTCAATTCTATTCGTCGACGCGTTGACACACTAATGAAAGCCAGAGAGGGCCACAACCGATATTGAATTAAATTAAAAGGAAAAAATCGCATGCATGTTAATGAAATGACTAAAACCTATCTACACGTAGTCAGAACGCTATAGCCACAAAATTGATAAATTGAATTTGACCCTTTCCTTAGAACTAGCATAATTTAACTAACTTAAACATAATTAATAAACAACAAAATGCATATCAATGTTGTGCATGCATCTCTTTTTCATGCCCAACATTCGTTTTTACATTTCCGTCATCGATTTCTTGAAAATAGTAATAAAATATACACTGTCAGGTTTCTATTTTTGTTGAGTGTATATTAAAAAGTGAAAATAATTTCAGAATTATAAAATTATGCTAAAAGCAGAAGACCATCTATTTCGTCCATATACAATATTCATTAAAACTGGTAAAAATAATGTGGAAACAAATAGTTGTGTCATATAATTATGTAAAAATAATGCAAATATAAGCAGAGGTAAGCAAACTTACTTATTTAGTGTACATATTGTTAATTGGATTTTGGCTTTATGACAACATCTTTTCAAAATCAAAATGAAGTTAACGCCGTACCCCTGAAATAATAATATCATTACATATATGCAAAACAATTAAAATAAACTATTAAAAAATAAGAAAGAAAAACCTAGAAGACTCATTTAACAATAAAACATGAAAGTATTCAGAATTCATTGTACTTAATTCGTCGCAATTAAAAAAGTGGTAATGGCGTTCCATGGTTTAAAAAAACTGTCTAAAACGACTTCTTATTAAAACACATGTTAAGCCGTTTTCGAATGTTTAACTTAGGCATGTGTTAATATGTATGATTAAGATAAGTTAATCTGTTTTCCATGAGTACAGATCGCTTGAATCAACGTAGATATTAAAAGATGAATTTCAAATGTTCCCGCTTCAAAACTTTGTACAACGGAAAAGGAAATGAAGGTGTATATTTTAGCTGTGCATATTATACTGTATGCATTTCTATATTTGACAAAATATCACGCGATTAGTTACATATACACACATGTTTATGGCAGCTAAGAGCATGCACACACCGCGGGCATAGAATATATTTAATTAAAGCGAGACACTGTTAACCGTATTTGACCGAGTTACCGCCGACATTTCGTGGATATATTCTACAAGAACTTTTGAAAAAAGTAGATCTAATATTTTTCAACAAAAACAAAAAATAAACTTAATAGGACCAGGTACGTATATATATAAATATACGTACCTGTTTCGGACCTTACATTCGTGCAAAGTAATTTCAAATTCCTTTGATAAATTACAAAGTTATGGACCGGACACGAAATGTGACAGACGGACGAACGGACAGACGGACGGAGCCTATTTCTATATCCCTCTTTTTTCTTCGAAAAGGCGGGGACTAGTACTAGTCTTACTCCCAGTTTTTTAAACTATTTTATCTCTTATCATCTTGTTTCACTATTAACATTTTAACCATGACTAGAAGACATTTTCAGTCTCACCTTCCAAGCATGTCAATGTTTGGACTTTTCTTTTTTAGCTTTTCTTTTCACCTTTTACTAACAATCCGACGTGCACTTAATTCCTGCCTTTAACACTCGTAAGAGGGGTTGGCAGTATCCAGAAATAGACAGATAGGGACAAAATCACCGACCAGAACTAGTTCCGTACCTTGGTGACACCGGATAAACGGTAAAAAAAACGGGAATCAAAACGGGTTTTAACATGAAGCTAGGAACCAACCTAGGTTGCAACAAATCAACGGAAATAACCGAAGTATATCAAGTAAATTGTTTACAAATGGCGTCGAAAGTGAGATGAGCGCAGGCCAGCTAATTTATCAGTATATTAGGAAAAATGTCATCGCAAGTAGAGACTACTGGTGTAAATAATGCTGTCGAACATTTACAAGAGCTAGGTATTGATTTATTTTTGAAATGAACGAAAAAGTAGGGTAAAGACTATAGGAACCAATTTTCATTCACAACCTAAATTCAAAGCGGCCTGATATGTCTGACTAAATTCTACATCTACATCTACATCATACTGCTTAACAATCAATTCTGATTATGACTAGCAGGCGCGTTGTCAGGGAACTGTTAATAAAAGAATTTATTTATATGCAAATTAAAAAGTTAAAAGAATAAAAGTTCTACAAGACTAATATGAAAAAGGCAAAGCCTCAAACTCAAAGCGAGCTTGATGTACTTGTATGAAAGCTCATTTTTATTTCAAATGCAGTGACGAGTGCGTGTGACGTCACACGTACTGTGTTAAATATGGCTCCGCCCCTGTCGTGAAATGAATAACGAGTTTTGAAAACGTTGATAAAACTTTGTTTATTTTATTTCATTCTATAATTTTTCAAGCGAAATAAAGATTTTTTTAAGTGAAATAAATGTAATACTTAACACGTTTGCGACATTAAATTAGTGTACTTGATTTGTTTGTTTTGCACGTGCTGTTTGGCGCTACGCTGTGACGTCACGTAAACAATACTTTAAACGTCTGTACAGCGTTAACGACTGAATAAAAGATATTGGTGTTCGGATTCATTTTCTTAGTTAGACCATTTTCTTTCATTCTAGATAGTTTTCACAACAAAATTTGACAAAAAAAATGTTTTTATTTATCAGATTTTTCAAACAAAATGGCGCCTTCGATTTTCATTTTTTATACACAGCTTCCGTTATTCTGGTTCCCTGTCCAATTATGGTTCCCATAGACGTGCGCGGGTGACCAGTCTACACATCCGTTTTCAGTCAGAATTCCTCAGTTTTTATCGTTATCTTTCAATTCGAAAGGTTGCGATGTGTCAAATTCGTTACTTTGGACGAAAGTTTTCAAAACCATCACTTAGCAGGTACTCGCGTTACCGTAAAGCTCGCTTTGCGAGCAGGCCCTTTGGGCCAGCTCGTCGAGCTCGCTATTAATTTAAAAACATAGTGTGCAGTTTAGAATTTATAGAATGGGTCAAGCCTCTCAGTAAAGATGTTTAAACTGGGGCTGGACTGAACAGTTAGGGGAAGGCTATTCCAAAGACGTATGCTCCTAGGAAAGAAAGAATTTTGATGATATTGTGTCCTCGAGTAGGGTATCAGGTAGTTCAGATTTCTTGTTTGGGTAAGGTGTTGGTGGTCAACAAAAACAATGTTGTTTTGGATTTTATACAAGTAGGTTACAGCACTGATGTTTCGACGCTGTTCAAGGGTTTGCCAATTAAGATCATTTTTCATTTTTGAGACACTACTTGTATAGTCATAATCATTAAAAATGTATCTAGCAGCTGATCTTTGTACTTGCTCTATCTTATAAATTAAGTATTTCTGCCAAGGATGCCAAACTATGGAGCAATATTCAACCTGAGGTCTAACATAGGTCTTATATGCAGTTTCTTTTATCTTTTTATTGGTTTTAACATTTCTTCTAATGAATCTGAGGGAGTTATTTGCTTTTGATGTGATGTTGTTTATATGTTTGGTCCATGAAAGGTCTTGACTAATAGTGACTCCTAAGTATTTCGCTTCTTGAGTTGAGTTAAGTTGGATGTTATGGAGGGTATAAGGAAATATTACAGGGTTTCTTTTTCTTGTTATCCTGAGAACTTCACATTTGTCAGGGTTGAATTCCATGGACCAGTCTTTTTCCCATTTTTCTAAAGCATGAAGGTCATCTTGGAGGGTTTGGGCATCTTGTTTAGATCTGATGGTTAGGTAGACAACAGTATCATCTGAAAAGAGTCTAACCTTACCTTTGACACTATCTGGGAGGTCATTGATGTAAGAAAGGAAAAGACAGGGACCTAATACCGAGCCCTTGGGGACACCTGAGAGAACTGGTAGAATTCCTGATTTTTGACCTTCAACTACAACTTGCTGGGAGCGTGACTTAAGGAAGGAATGGACCCAATTTGTAACCTCATAACTTATACCCAATCTTTCTAGTTTACTCACAAGTTTGTGATGGTCCACCTTATCAAATGCCTTACTGAAATCCATGACTATGACATCAGTTTGTTGGCCACTTTCAAGATTGTCATGAATTTCCAGGGAGAAGCTTACTAGCTGGGACTCACAACTCCGTTTTGACCTGAAGCCATGTTGATAGGGGCTAAGGATGTTGTGTTTATCATAAAAGGACATAATATTGGACACTAAGATGTGCTCCATTAATTTGGACGCTATACATATCGGGGAGAGAGGTCTATAATTGCTGGGTTTGCATTTTGGGCCTTTTTTGTAAACTGGCGCAATTATAGCATGCTTCCAGTCTTCTGGGACAATATCTGTTTTTAGTGAGATCTGGAAGATGTGGGTCAGTATATGGGAGTAACCTCTTGATGGAGCTCTTTTAATAACCTAGGGGATATTTGGTCAGGACCAGAAGCTTTATTTGGGTTTAGGTCTTTTAAAAGTTTCTTCACACCATCTAAATTGGATAAAGTCACATGGTATATTAACGAAAACACTTGCAGGAATGCCTTACATGATTAATTGTTGGATGTTATCAGGAAAACAATAGCTTTGCTATTGCCTTTGACTTCCCCTAATAAGTGATAAGTTATTCTACATTTTTGGTTCTGTATAGCCTGGAACCCCGTTGTATCGATCTATTAACCCATAAATCACAACTGCATTTAAAAAATTCAAATCTCCCTGAATATTTATTTTGTATCATTTATTTTGATCCTTTTGCCATAATATTTACATGGCAAACATCACTGATATATAGTTTTTAGCTTTGGAATATACGGATATTTACAGACATGTCAAACAGGTTGAAGAATTAGGTCACGCCATTATATCGATGCATTGTGAGAATCGCTCAGTTAGTCAAAGTTTGGGAAACATTAACCATCTTTATGTTAGATAAATTAGTCAATTAATAACATAGTTACATAGATGTCTGTTTTAAAATGTCAGCATAAATTTAGGAACTTTTAACAGACAGCAAATGTACTTTTAATAAGAACACATTATTTATAAGTCTATTTATTATCTACAACATCTTACGGTACTGGAAACATGTTTTTGATCATTTTACTGCACAAAAATAAATGCGAAAGATTTTCGTGACACTGTTGTAAATGTTAACAATCAGTAGGTGACGTATTTTGCAAAAAATCTAAAGATTTGTAAATAGATTGATACAATGAATAGCACGATACAATGGGGTTCCACTATACGTAGATAGGCATTACATTCTATTTATGTATTTCTTAACTTAATTTATAATGTTTTTGCAGGTGATCGGATGAGACATGATTTTGGTTTTAGTGAGACAGATGTGTGTAATATAGATCAAGTGATTGAAGCGCTTAAGGAACTGGTAGGTTTATTTACAAAAATATATCACTGTTTTTTTCTCAATTTTAGGGGAAGGGGTTCGGTCAATTTTGGGCAAGTCCCCTTACCCATATGTGAAAGATTTGTAAACAACCTTGCTTAACAGTAAGTCTTACAGGCATAAAATAAAGCATTTTCTAAAAATATGATATTCATTGCAGGCAAATTTGGGCTGTCATATTATAGGGGGAAATTTTTTGGCTTTATGGGGGGGGAAACATACTATTTTGAGGGCGGAATGGGGCTGAATTTCGCCGAATATTTTGGTGAAAAAAAACACTTTATATTGAACCAACTTATTTATGATCTTACAATAGATATCAGGTATTGACTTAATAACATTTTTATTATTGTTTGCATCTTATATTTAGAAATCTTATATATCTATATCTATATTTATGTCACACAGTTTTAATAAGCCGTAATATTCAAGGGTGCTTCTTAAGATTGATTTATGCTAAGAAACTATGCTTGGAATACAGACTAAATTCTGCATGTTTCAATATACCAGTATATCTGTTCAACAGTTGTATAGGAACATGGATTCAAATAAAAAACTGATTTCTCTGTCTTATAAAGTTTATTCTGTATATGTAGGAAATATTACGGTCTGAGGCACACGACAGGTTGGAAGCGGAGACTATCCGTGCCAGTATACAGAGACATACACTGCAGTTTCTACCAGGACGGATCACCCAGGAAATCACAGGTACCTTAAAAAACAACAACAAAATCAACAACTGGATTTTTTTAATATTAATATTTGAACCTGATATTATGAATGTAATCAAACTGTTTTCTTACTACTACTCCTTGATTTTATTTTGCATCACTTGCTGAATAAATGTGTCCTGGGAAATTAAAATCTAGTAACATTTTGATGGAAGGTATCATCATCATTTTACATGGTTATAGCAGCAAATAAAACCTTTTTTTAATTTTAGATTTTAAATAACCGTCCCTACTAATTTGTTAACTTTGAAAAAAAGCTTTTTATACTAGCATTTAAACATTTTTAATCACACTCTTAGGAAAATAATTTACATGATAATTTTTATCATACAGATGCTATTAACTCTGCCAAAAAATCAAATGCTGATGCCATAGAATACTTGAAGAATCAATTAGTAAAAGTCAACAAAAACATAGTTTACCTCGAGGGTTACCAGAAACAGCTTGATGAGGAAAATGCACAACTACAGTAAGCCATTCTTTGCATATTTCTACAACCTTTTTTTCTTCATGGTTCTGGAAACTGATTATTTTAACTAATTAGGCACATTAGGGGGCATAACTCTTCATTTGTTTCCATTTCTGAATCAGGATGGATTTACTGAATGACTTACTAAAAAAAGTAAAGTACATAAAGTACATGTACTCTGAATCTATTATAAAATGTAAATTTATCTTTTAATTACAACAAAACATTTATATTTAAAGTTATCATTATTTTCTTCCTTAATTCTATAAATACTAGTATTGTTATATACAGGTCAGGCCAGCCAGCACATCTGTGATATATAACAAGACTTTATGATGTTGTTTGTTAATTTTAGGTGGTTTTTTTTCTGTACTTTAAACCTTCTAAATAACAATAGCCAAATCTGTTGTATGCAAAGTCGTAGATGTTCATCATACAAATTTATTAATGTATTGTATTAGAGTTTAATTGAATGGATTTTGATTTTTAAGGTTGTCTTTATCAATAAGATTTATATGGCTTGTTCTAAAATAAAAAATATATATTTTACTTTGGTTGTAAGTTTACATTTTTAATTGACTTGATTAAAAGTTTGTTAGATTATACAGTCTTTATTGGTGTAATTTAAAATATCTTGATCTTTTTTCTTTATTCAGACAATGGTATATTGAGTTCCTGTAGCTAAAGACATTTAGACTATAGTTTCAAAACAATGTAGAAAAGACATTGGTCTATTTATTTGAAATCGATAAATTCATGTAGTTATTTGCTAGCTGTTTCTTCTATCACCTTTTTATACCCCCAAAAACGAAGTTTGGGGGTATATGGGAGTCACCCGGTGGTCGGTTGGTCGGTCGGGCGGTCGGTGGGTCCAGACGTCCGTTGCATTTTCCTTGTCAAGAGCATAACTTGAAGACTGATGATTGGAATTCAATATAACTACACACAATTGTCAAGCACATTGAGAGGAAGTGCAGTGCACAAGAACCATAACTCTATCTTGACTTATTACAGAGTTATTGCCCTTTGTTACTTTTCCTTGTCCGGGGCATAACTTGAAAACTACTGGTTGGAAATCAAAACAACTTCATACTATTGTCAAACACAATAAAGGGAAGTGCGGTGCACAAGAACCATAACTCTATCTTAAGTAATTACAGAGTTATTGCCCTTTGTTACTTTTCCATTGCTTTTTTTGTCCGGAGCATAACTTGGAGACTAATGGTTGGAATTCAATATAACTACATACAATGGCCAAGCTTATTGAGAGGAAGTGCAGTGCACAAGAACCATAACTCTATCTTGCCTAATTACAGAGTTATTGCCCTTTGTTACTTTTTCTTGTCCGGGGCATAACTCGAAAACTACTGGTTGGAATTCAAAACAACTTCATACAATTGTCAAACACAATAAAGGGAAGTGCAGTGCACAAGAACCATAACTCTATCTAAAATAATTACAGAGTTATTGCCCTTTGTTACTTTTCCATTGCTTTTTTTGTCTGGAGCATAACTTGAAGACTAATGGTTGGAATTCAATATAACTACATACAATGGTCAAGCACATTGAGAGGAAGTGCAGTGGACAATAACCATAACTCTATCTTGACTAATTACAGAGTTATTGCCCTTTGTAACTTTTCCTTATCTGGGGCATAACTTGAAAACTACTGGTTGGAATTCAAAACAACTTCATACAATTGTCAAACACAATAAAGGGAAGTGCAGTGCACAAGAACCATAACTCTATCTAAAATAATTACAGAGTTATTGCCCTTTGTAACTTTTCCATTGCTTTTTTGTCCCGAGCATAACTTGAAGACGAACGGTTGGAATTCAATATAACTACATACAATGGTCAAGCACATTGAGAGGAAGTGCAGTGGACAAGAACCATAACTCTATCTTGACTAATTACAGAGTTATTGCCCTTTGTTACTTTCCCTTGTCCGGGGCATAACTTGAAAACTACTTGTTGAATTCAAAACAATTTCATACAATTGTCAAACACAATAAGGGGAAATGCAGTGCACAAGAACCATAACTCTATCTAAAGAAATTACAAAGTTATTGCCCTTTGTTACTTTTCCATTCCTTTCTTTTGTACGGACCATAACTTGAAGACTAATGGTTGGAATTCAATATAACTACATATAATGGTCAAGCACATAGAGAGAAAGTGCAGTGCTTAAGAACCCTAACTCCATCTTGACTTATTACAGAGTTACTGCCCTTTGTTACTTTTCCTTGTCCATAGCATGACTTGAAAACTACTGTTTGGAATTCAGTACAACTTCATACAGTTGTCAAGGACATTAAAAGGAAGTGCAGTGCACAAGAGCCATAACTCCATTTTGACAAAATACAGAGTTACTGCCCATTGATAGTTTTCCTTGTCCAGAGCATAACTTAAAAAGTACTGGTTGGAATTCAAAACAACTTCATACAATGGTCAAGCATAATAACAGGAAGTGCAGTGCACAAGAACTATAAGTCCATCTTCAGTACTTATAGAGTTATTGCCCTTTGTTTCTTTTCCTTGTCTTTCTGGACTTATTACAGAGTAATTCAATAAAATTTATCAATGGCCAACCACATTGAAAGGAAATGCAACATACAAGAACCACAACTATGTTTAATTGCCCACAACCATAACTCTATATTTCAATTCTATTTTGTTACTAGTAACATCCTCATTTCTGAAGCAGTCTTGTGGGGGTATTAACCCTTTACCACATATATACGCGAAACAACGCACTTTCGACCCCCCCCCCCCCTTTTTAGGCCTCAAATAGTGAAAAAATGTCCTATTTGGGCCCCCAACATAAGTTTTTGTTTGAGAAATGTTGCTAAAAAAATTGAGCACTTTTTCGGCGCCGCCCCCCATCCAAAAGATACATCAGGGGGTTGCCAGAAGGGGGATGTGCCCCCTTCTGTTAGGGGGGTTGGAAGGGGGGCGGAGTCCCCCTCATCGCCAAGAAAATTTTGGACTTGTGAGAGGCTAAAAATGACCCCAGGTGGATCATAATGTAACGTTTAACCAACGCTGAAAAGCCTTTGACTCTATCTCAATCCCTTGAGCAGTTACAGCACTTTGAAATAAATTTTGATGGAAAAATCGAGGCAAAATAGTGATTTTTGGCAATTTTGAGATGTCCCCTCGTTGCCATGGTAACAGGAAATTTAAGACTGAGCATGTTGTTACAAAGGCAATGGTCCAGTCAACATTGGTGCCAAGTTTGATTAGTATTGAAGCATTTTTCATAGTTTCATAGCAGTTTGAACTTGTAACAGGAGGCTTTTCAGTGAAAACGGCCATTTTTCACAATATGCTCATGGGGGAAAGGGTTAATCACATTTAGTGATAGTCTAATTTAATTAAAATTCTTGCATTTAATGAATATTGCAGGATGTCTCAAATAGACAATTTAATATGCTGTATAAAATTTTCAGTGGCTTAAATGTTGATTTTACTTCCTGCCCATCTACTTAAAATTTATCATTCTTAGTAGTTAGAGTTTCCTGAGCAAATGTTATAGCTGTTACAGGAAATATGCCAGGATATTGTGTGGCTATTACCTTATGTTAAGAGTGTTTTGCTGGTATTTTTGTTGACAATTTCTTAACGTTTTATTTCTTTTTTTGTGAGGAAGCTATCCAGCTAGGTTCTGGAAAAGTGGTTCAGCTTAGGTGCCCACTTGTGCCTGACATAATACATGGTTGTGCACCTAAGGTGTTCCTTTACCAGTAAAACTGGAAAGTCAACATACGACCCATTCTGTGTTGGTGTGATGCAAAACCTTACAAACAAACAAAAAACTTGTTTTAAGGATTTAAGAACTGAATATTTAAAGTTGATTCCATCAAGATACCTCAACCTCATGAAAATCTAAAAGCCAGTTCAGTTTTGAGAGTATATACCACCTGTACGTACTGCTAGACCAGTCTGAATGCCCTTGCAAATAGACCCTACTGTATACTTTATGTTGGCTTTCGAATTTTAGTGTTATGATATGAGAATTCCTCCTTATGTTTGGGTCAAAGGGTGGGAACAATACACAGCCTGTGTCTGTACCATCAATAATTACCATTCTGCAGCTCTACTGTCTCAGCAAGTGGGCCACTTGTACACATTTGCCCCTACAATGAGTAATTCTATACTATTATGCATGGAAAATGGTCAATTCAAGTTCAAAGCAAGACAAGTCCTATATATACTTATTAAGCATGATAAGGGCTGATTACTGAATTAAAATATGACTAATTTGCATTTCTTTATTTTTTGAAAGATTTTAGTTTTTACAAGATTTGAACTTTAAAAAGGGCCATTTAGAATCTTCTTTTTTCGAGTGTTTGTGTGGTTTGCTGTGTTATGTAGGATGCAAGACAAAATGTCCAGCCTCTTAAATTCCCTTATTAAAACTGACGTACCTCTGATTTTTTGTGTGTGTAAATAGTTTCAGTTAGTAAATGTAAAAAAAAAACATATTTATTTATATTTGTATTATTTTACCTGAGAAATTATAATCACAGTTTAGGATGACTCAAGAATTAAGCCTTGCTCCTGTTAATTTAGTATAATTTGATGATTAATGATAAACATCCATTCAATACTAATACATTTACTTACCTTTAAAATGCAATAAATGATGTTTTATGACTTGTTATTACATGTTTTTATTTCTTAAGTGTTATATATTTTGTGTGATTTGTCAAAGATTTACAAAACTTTACATCATCATGATAATTATTTCAGTCCGGAGAGAGAACAAGTTAGACAACAACATGAGGAGATCATCTCACAGCTTAACCAAAGAATGGCCGAGAAAGCCAGGTACCAATGTCTTTTAATTATTATATTATTGAGCATTTCCAGAATTCATTTTCAATAAAATTTCTTCACTTTATTCCAATATAAATCTTCCTTTTCTACTCCTTTGGTATTCATCCATACTATTGTTTTTATGCCCCCACAGAGTGGGAGCATATAGTGTTGCACTTGTCCGTCCGAGTGTCCGTCATGCCGTACGTCTGTCCATCCGAGCAAACATTTGATATTTATGAGCTTCATTCCGTAGTTAAATAAAGAACAAAAACTCATAAAATTCAAATTAAGAGCTATTTTTTTGTTTTTATGAGCTAATTTTGCTTATGGACGTTGGTCCAGGTGGTGTTTATGAGCTGATTTGCCTCATAAATGTCAAAAGTTGGTACGTCCGTCCGTATGTCCGTACGTCCTGAAATTTTGTTATTGTTTGAATCATGATATCTCCAAGGAACACATGAATAAATTCATACATGATATCAATGATATTATTAAGCAAGATTTTCAATGAGAAACTTTGTCTTGATTAAAGACTGGTATATGAAGGTATGTAGTTTGGCATAAACTACCATTTAGGCAGAATTATATCCCCTTTTGCATGTGTGATATTTGCGGAAAATCTGGGTTCATCCTGGTATTTTTTTTGAACTTTGAAAAGGGGTTAGGTCAAAGCATACACAGTATTTGAATGATAATAATAGGGATGGCAACGAATACCAAAATCAATACTCGAGTACTCGGTCATTTTTCCGATCGAGTACTCGATTGATATTTACGTTTTTATAATTTACAAGTTTCGGCTACAACTGTCTAATATTAAATGTGATTAAATATAATAAGAGGCCGAATAACGTAAACGATGCAGGACTGTGTTCAATCCCATACGCGTGTCAAACTACTGATCGCCTCGTTAAATTTAAGATATCATTTTCACACCTCTGCAAGGATGTTTTGATTGCATTTAACAAGTATTTATATAATACGTGTACATTTCCGAATTTCTGAACTAATCTTTCTAAATCGCAAAAAAGTAGAAAATAAATATTTTTTTCCGAGTAATCGAATATCATTTTTGTTAATCGATATTCGGACGTTCGATGGAGTACTCGCTTAACCGGTTACTCGTTGCCATCCCTAGATAATAATAATCATGTTGTTTTAATTAATTTGATGTTGCGGTATAATTGTAATATGAAATAAGCTTCCTGTATCTATTGCAGCATGCAGATTCACCTGAATGAGACTAGAGACCAAGTTAGACAGACAAATCAAGATGTAAGTTACTTCAGGTCATGGTCTCAGCATAGTCAAATTTTGTACTCTATGTTCTGTAGTAAATCAGTCATGATGAATTATACACTGTCTTCAACTTTAAACATCAATACTATTCCACTCAAATGAGGCCCAAAATATACCCATATACCTTTTTCAAAAATCTTCATTCTGTTGGGACACTGTTTAATTTGCCCTCTTTAAAAACTCCTGTCTCCTGGAGGGTAGTATATCTTTCATCCTTCCGCTCTGGAGAATACATAAAAAACAACTTTTTAATGATCATATAACAAACAAAAAACTACACAGATGCAATAAATATACTTTAAATATGAACAATCCAACTAGAGATGATTTAAATTCTGGCATTTCAAAATGTTCAAGAACCAGGTTGAGTCTAATGTTGTACCGGGGCAGCTAATGACCATTATTATAAATATGTTGTCTCCCACCTTTAACAACATGAAATACTTTCATTCTCATTATGATAGTTGTGATATTTTCTTGCATCAGTGGAGATATTTTTCATATCTAATTTTTGTTAGTGCCTGTATGTGTAAAGATTCTTATTTAGATTTTGAATGCTGATTTATTTACAATTATCTATATACTCTATAAACATCTGGTAAAATGATTAATTTGCTAGACACTTTGTACACATCATTTTTCATATCATATTTAAAGGTAATTCCTGTATCATAATTGCTGTTATTTACCATGCCTGGAAAAATAATGTTTTATTACAGTTGTAACTTTATCATTTTGTATATTCCCAGATTGTAGATTTAGAAGATGGTATTCTTCAACTCAAGGAAGATTTAATACACGAAAGAGGGGAGGCAAGATCAGAGAAAAGACAGTTGAAGAAGGCTGTGGTACGTAGAAGAAGTATTTTGATTGCAATATTTGCATTTAATCTACAGAGAATAAAAGTACTGCAGATAAGTGAACAAATGTTTGAAACAGATAGTGAAAATAAAACTAGATAGTGAAAATAAAACTAGATAGTGAAAATAAAACTGTAAAATTTGTAAATTTAAACTGATTATAATATTCTGTATATAGATAATAGCCTTTTTAGTGCATTAAGGTCTTGTTTTAATTTCAGGCAAGTACAACAGACAAAACAAAGGAACAAAAACTTTTAAATGTTGAAAAGAAAAAGTAAGTTTTATTTATTACAAATGTATAATCTATTTAACTTTTATTTCTATAGATTAATTTTTATAAGTTATATACTTTGTGATTATTTATAATCATGTCTCTATAGTGAAAAATGACCCCATCCCATGGATCTCTTTGCTTATATAGATTTTGATTAGAAAACACATTTAAGTAATGTATTTTTTTTTATTTTAACTGATGGTACAAGATTATGACTGTGGCAAGTGAATAGCTTTACTAGTTGTGGAAGATAACATTAACATGACATTCTTACCTTATTACATAGTTCACCTGACAATGCTCTATGTAGGCACTTTAGAAAAGCCATCTACTTTGAGCTAGCAGTATATCATTCTTTGGGATTCAGATGCTGAAATGTGTTGACCATAAGATTGAAAGTCTTTGTGATCTGTAGACCGTAGAGTCATGTTCAGTCAAAGCTGTCTAAATCAGCCAGCTAAGGGAAGCAGCCATTTTGGCTGCTTAAAACAGGTGGCTGTTGAATGGAGGATCAATTTTTTATTCAAATATATTCTTAATTGTTTAATGAAATATATAACTATAATATGATTTATCATATTATTGATTTGCATAATCATATCTGCTGTACTTTTTTGACAGAGATTTAGATGCATTGCATGAAAAGTTAGTAGATAGTGAAGGAAAACTTGATGCCTTGAGAAAGGTAAATAGCTTAAGTAAATAAATATTTAGAACATAAAAGTATTAGATTTTGATTCACAAAGATCTTTAAATTATTGCTGACAGACCCAAAGTGATGTGGGATTTATAATATTATTGAAATGAATGAACCCTCTAATATTATCAGCTTCTATTGCCTATTCATTGCTAAATTTTAATTAAAACTGATAAAGGTATAAGTTCTTATTTTCTAAATATATAATTTTTATTACAACACGAAAGTGAAGTCCTTTAAACTACATGAAAGTCTTCCTCCTGCAAATAAACAACTTTTCATTATCAGCTTATAGAAATGATCCAAACTTAATTAACATTTCCCCCTAAATCAACAAGATAAAAGTTTTACAGCTGTTTCTGTACATGTATATCATTTTTTAACATTATACATTACAGAGTTTACGTAGATTTGAGACATCAAAAGCCAAGCTTGAAGGTCAGGAAAGAGCTTTGACTGCACAATTACAGAAACAACTCAAACAAAATGAAGAATTAAGACAGAAAGGGTATTTACTAAATTCTTTAATTGTTATCCATGATAATAAGTATTAACTGTTATATTCTAACAATAGTCTGACCAGAAATCTTCACTCTAGTATGCTTAAATCCTTAACCAGGGCCCGAGGTAATAAAGAAATTTTCTTGCATTGCAGACTGGCGTTTCTGTGAGTTTTAACCATGCCCTAAATTTCATTGGCATGGGGGTGCCAGATGAGTTGCGTATCTTACAACAACGTCATTTTAGCGCATTTTATGAATGAACCGGGTTAATATGATGTCATTTTAGAAGGGAACTATGTATGTAGGATGACATCATTTCACCGTTGTCATTTTAGAAGGGAACTATGTGCTTAGGATGACATCATTTCACTGTTGTTATTAATTGTAAATTCATACGATATTGTAAGAAAATAGTTATGGACGAAATGACTTTAATTTCCATGAACAAATATGTTATTGAGGTAAAATATTTCAAATATGAAATTAATGGCAGAATATGCAAGAAAAAATATCTTACATATGTTTGCGGTTTGGATCGGAATATCCATCCCTCGGCAACATATGACAGTTATTATTATTCCCAGGTAAAACTCTGATCTCAGGTATTTGATTGGTCAGAAACTGCCAGGGAATGTACAATAACCAATGAAAATCCTAAGATTTGAGACAGAACTCAGAATAAAAGTTTTATAACTTGAACTTCTGAAGAAGATGTATCCAGTATCCATTTTTGGAACTCTCCATTATCACTTGGATAGTTGTAAGTTAATAAATCAGCAGAATGGAGCCTTGGCTGGAGGAAATAAAACATTCTCAGGATTTTTATTGGTCAGTGTACAATTCTTTTGCAAGCTTTAGACCAATCAAATACTTGAGTTTTGAGTTTGAGCTTAGATAATTTCTTCATAACCTCAGACATTGGTCAGACTGTACAGATCTGCAGGCAAAACTAGCTCTATACAGTTTGCAATATCTAATCACTTTCATTTCCAAAAAGGCAAGGATTAATGTTAAACATTTTAATATTCTTGAAATTCCATAAATTAACAATTGACAGTGACAAAGTTAGCCAAACTTATTTTAGCAATTGATTACAAACCATAAACATTTGATACCAAATAAAAATTAAATTGTTCAAAAGTATACTGTGAACCAGTATTCTGTATAGATTATTGCTGTGATACTCTTGACTTGTATGAAAATTTCTTATTTTTTTTTCCTCATATTTTCAATTTCAGAGCATCAATTTTAGCTGAAGACGCTAGATTACAGAAAGAATTTATAGAAAATGAGAAACAACTAACAAGTAAACTAAAAAGGGTAGGATTCTACTTTATATCTGTACTTCATATATTACTGACTTCTATGTTATTATCAGAATATTTCTGTTGCTGTAAACTTTAATTCACATAAAGTTTAAATGAGTTTAACTGTAAATTTGTATTCTTATGACATGATACACACATTAAGGCCATTTTAGATTCACACTGTGTGCAATAATTTTGCAAATTTGAAACATTTTCCCATCGTGTCTGTATTCATAGCATACCAACAAAAATGATAATAAACTGCACTATCCCTATTATTATATTTTAAATGTTTTTTAAAATATAATAAAAGGGTGCAAACTGCTTATTAAATTACTAAATGCTATATAAAAAGATATGATTAAATAACTGTTTCTTTATCAGATGGAAAATGAGATTGTGAGAGAAGAAGAAAAGTTTTATGAACTTGACTTAGAAAGGGAAGGTTTAGCAGAAGGTATGTATTGGTTAACAATAAGACATTTAAGAAACACTTTATTATTTAGTTTTATATGACAATTTGTATAGATTATTAAGATAGATAAGTATTTGTTATTCAACATTGATAAAATTGAAACAGTCTTGCCTGTCAAACAAGGGTGATGAGTGATAGATTTAATGAAATTAATGCTGACTTAATGAACACTAACTTTCTTGGTGGTTGAAATTTGAATATGAAGAGCAAATATGATACAATGATTTAATGAAATAGTGTTACAATGTACTATATGACAAGTTGTTGTGGATTAAATAAATCAAATATACCACAGAATTTGACAAATGAAATTCAATCTCAAAAACTTACCATTTTACAAAATACTCAGGTGCCTGGATGTGCCTGAGATCTAACTCTACCAGTAAAATTGAAGTATCACAATGCCAGCATTACGTAGCATATGATAAAAATTTGAAATAAGCTTTAAAACACCTTGGATATTAAATTTTACAATGGATTTTTTGTCTCTTTTTTGACTGTCTCTTTTTTGACAGAGATATTTCTGTACTGTATTTTCTTGTTATGTTAGGTTGAATATTTGAAGAATAATGCCGCTGGCATTAGGGTTATTGTGAGCATAATACATGCACATAGTTTGAACAGTATTCTTATGAAACTTGTCACTTGTTTCAAAGGTCAAATTATTTATTGACCCATAACTCAACATAATCAGCAGTATTAATTAAAAGGACTCCATTGACGGTTTTTTAACATGATCAAACTTAAAAAAAAATTTGACAGACCAAACTTGGTGCATGATTTCAGATATCTCATTTTGTTTTTCTGGAATAATTACTCTAATTGTGAAACTTTACCAAATAAAAAAAGCATTGCAACCCATTTCACTCAAATCTGGCTAAGAATATCACAAAACTACAGTTTTAAATTTAATCCTGAGTATATTTCCTTATTATCTTTTTATCTATATTTCTGTTTTGGATGCTTTTGCTGACCTGTGTAATAAATTCAAATTTTATGTTTGAGGCTTTAGGACCTCAGATGAGTTCCTTTAATGTTGTACAGAAACTCTTTCAATTTCATTTATTACATGACTGATCCGCGTCATGACAAAACCAACATAATGGGTTTGCAACCAGCATAGATCCAGACCAGCCTGCACATCAGCACACTCTGTGGGTTTGATCCCCGGGAGATGCTTTGGTAGTTTGGCGCGGAGGAAGGTAGTCTAGTACTGGTGTAACTCTCCAGGAACGATGGTTAGGAAACTACCTGCCTATATGACTGAAATACTGTTGGAAAAGGCGTAAAATGAAACAAACAAACAAACAAACAAATGATCAGGATCCATGCTGTTCGTTTTCGAACCCTATTACAAGTAGAGAAACTGATAGCAAACAGCATGGCTCCTGACCAGACTGCGTGGATGCGCAGGCTGGTCTGGATCCATGCTGGTGGCAAACCCACTATGTTGGTTTTGTGAAGACACATCTCAATTATTGTATACTATGTTACCATTTCAGAGTTGGAACAGATGATGATTGTCAGGAGTGATGATGCCGAGAGGGTAGCAGACCTTGATGCTCAGTAAGTGTTTGAACCTGTAACCTTATTCTAGAAGTTTTGCTGATTATTGATAAAGCACATATTGATATACTTATATGAACTAATACTTATATAAACTATAGCAATGTTAAAGCAATATTTTATGGATGACTGCTTCCTATTTATTACCTAAGATAGAGATTAAACCCTTTCCTACTGGAATCGAAAATGATTAGTCTTGATTAGTCTTTGCCACCAGTATAAAGCCAGGCCAGCCTGCTTGTGCATGTAGTCAGACTAGTCTTGTGAACTGTTGGTAGTGCATTATTTTTGTATTTTTATATTGAAATCCCGTTATCTTAAAATGGACTGTTCCAAATTCAAATCAAGACAAATCCAGTACACAAATTTCAGCAGGTTAAGGGGTTAAAAAGGAATGGCTTTGTACATGCTGTATTTTTCTGACTAATTACTTAGTTAACTGTATCATGCAATCTTTTTGAACTCACAAAGCGGAGGTCAGTAGACATGGGAGATTATCATAGGATTCTTTCTTTATGGTAACACTTCAGCATACAATGGGCAATAAATGATTGGCCTATACCAATAGTATAGAGCTACTAGTGTATCATTGTTCACATTTTCACAGTCTCATTAGACTATACTGTTTGCTACACAACATAAATTCTTTGATATTAATCTCTTTAAAGCACACAAAACTATGCATTCTTATGATTTTCCTACTGTAGTTAAGGTAGTCTTACTGTAATGCTTTCCTGTCAATTTCTATCATTGGCCCATATCGTAATAAATCTGTTTTTTCTGGAATGTTATTTTTGACAATCTTCTGTATTTAATAGTTTTTAACTATTCATAAATGGAATTTAGGACATATGTGATGAAGGATAAGCCATTGTAAATAATCTAATAAAAAATAATGACCCAGAAATAACTGATTTGCTATGATATTGGCTAATGTTAGATTTTCTTTTCGGTGAAAGCATTACAATAACACTGCCTTAAATTTAAATTATTTTAAAACAATTTTTAGGGTGTTTTTTTTTCACTCAGATTAAAAGCAGAAAAAATAATTGTCATCAAAGGCAAGGAATAGGTGAAATGAAAAGGTAAAACTCTAAATGTTAAAGATATAAAAAACTCTTGGAGAAACACACAAGTATGTATTTGATGTCCTCATTTGTGATTTCTAAGCCTCTCTATAATTTTTTACAACACACCCCTTTCACCTCCTTTTCAAGGTTTGATTTTATATTGCACCTCACTTATAAATTTACTATAAAATATATTAATGCTTAATCTAAACATTGACAAATGTGTGTAAGCACAGATTTGTTAAGAGGGATTCAACAATTGATATCTGAAAAAAATAAGTGTTACATATAAGTTTAGATATTTTCCCACCCACTACCTGGCATATCTGTCTGGCTTTCTGTCCATACATAGCATTTTCAAATTAGCTCTGCCTTCTTACACAAGTACAAGACTTAACTGACTGTACAAGGATTTTCCAACAGTGAAATTTGACAATATTCCGACATTTAAGTTAACAAAGACATACTATTTTCAAGTGAAGGCAAGAAAATTTGCATTACAACACGCCTACTAAACGGTGGCTCTTTCACATTTTGGTGATCTGTTTAAATGAGAGCCATTGACACTTCCGTTGCAGAGCCCTCGATGAAAACAAGGCTGAAAAAGGTAAGAAATTTTAGTAAAAATATCAATTTTAAAAGATCATGCTTGTTTTTCAAAAATCGAAGAATGCCATGCCATGTAGAACATTTTTCTCATCATGTTGGGTGCAGTTTCAATAAGAAATACCCTAAAATGTAGGGGTGCAACGATACAGCCAAACCCGTATTGCGATATATTGCGATATAGACAGCCTGTATTGCGATACGTATTGTGGTACAGTGTATACTAAAATAATTAAAGAAAACAGAAAAACATATGCTATATTTCAACTCTTCTTATTATTCTTTTAGAACACATACATGTATCTATATAATGAATAAGTACCCTGTGTCCTTGAGGCTTTTAAATGTTTTTCTTAAGAAATATCAACATGTCAACAACTTCTGGACTTAAAGCTGCCCTCTGGGGCAGTTACAATATCCCCAGCAGTACTAAAGACACGTTCTGAAGGGGACAGATGTAGCAGGGATACACAGTCTTTGACGTACCAAGCTTGATACAAGGGAACTGCCATTCATTATTCTTCCACCACACTAAATGGATCGGATGACATTGGAACAAGTGGTTCAGTTTTAAGTTTTCAATTTCAGCATTTGCACGTTCCATATCAGATTTTAATTTGTGTTCTGTCCTCTCTCACACAAAATAACATCTCCTAGGATAGACGCTAACCACCACTTTCACTGGGAGCTGACTGGGTCCCAGTAATTGAAGCTCTGATTTCACTCACAGGAGGGAACTGCTGGCTTAACATCTGAAATGAAATATGGTCAAGTGTTGTCAGCTAGCAAATGTACATCACAACTAGATATGCTCAAACTGTATAACAAGTTTAACAAGCCGGGGAAACCTAAAAAAATAATTGTGTTTAGATACTAACAAAATGTAGACAAAGTGATGAAATTGAACAGTCATAGATGGTTAAAAAAATCTGCCAAATTAACTACCTGCAAAGAAGTGTCATTATCTGGCATGACTGGAAGTGGGGGTGTATGAGATGCCTCTCTCGTGACCACGTCTGCCTCTGTTCTACCTTAAACCTTCGCTGGTCTTGTGTTGGCTGCCCAGTGAACAGATTCTGTGGTATGTGTCAAAGGCTTCCTGTTGTGTAAGGCATGAAGCCTTAAACCGAGGATCCAGTACTGTACACTCCTGTAAAAACTCGTTAATGCTGTTGTATCTGAAATACAAATCAATATTTTTAAGGTACAGTTTAAATTAACCAACAACGGAAATTTAAAAGCAATTACTACTTTTTTTCAAATGCCACATGCTGATTGCCAATCTATGCTTCTACAGGATCTTTTCAGATAATAATATTATTTATTTTACTTGCATTACAAAACAATTGATGTTGCGAGAACTAAAATTCATGGGTTTTATGTTACCTAGGCTACTTGATAATTTACATTACAAAGTCCATACTGTGATATACATCACAATTAATAATTTAATATTTCAGCAATAAAAAGTATATAATATACATGGGGTAAACGGTGTAAGTTAATAAAAATAAAAACTTACCTGCTGTTCAAGTCATTACGCATAGCCTGCTTCATTCTGCTTTGATAACTTCCATGTCTCCTTCCTTTACAATCAAATCGTGCGAGAGTAATTTTGTCTGCAGAGGGAGTATGATGGATACAGTTGGCATCGTCTCAGAACAAAGTACAGTTGTTATGGCTTTTTAGAGGCAAGAGGCAGGTCATGATCTGTTCTGCTATAGTAATATCAGCGTCCGACAGTGTAGATATTATCCCCGGCATTGGCACAAACAGATTGTCAATGAGTGATGCATATTACTGCAGGTTGCAATTTCAAGAATCTCTGCAACATGTCTGCTGCAGAATTCCATCTAGTCGGGACATCATTCATAAAGCTTTAAGTTTTTTTTTAAGTCCTAACTGTTGTGTTTTCACTTTCAATAAGGCAGTGGCTGTGGTGCTTCGTGGAAAAATGATACTACGCGACGAACTCTCCCCAAAATGCGTGACACCGTCGTTACCTTAAGGGCTTTCTGAGCAGCCAAGTTGAGAGTGTGGGCAAAGCAACCGATGTGAGGTGTGCATCCTGCCTCTTTGGCTGCTATTACCATGTTCTGCAGCGTTGTCTGTTTTACAAGGGGTGGTGAAGGTTTAACACCCCACTCAGAAACTGCGTCCGTCAACACTTTCGCTATGTTTACACCAGTGTGACTCTCGGGCAGCTCTCTCGTTTGCAAGACAAATGATTTCAATTCCCAGTCCTTCGTTATTTGAGAGCATGTCACTGTGATGTAGGACTGGGTGGACCTACTAGTCCAGCCGTCCGTCGTTAGTGCGACTGTAGATTCTTTCAAGCATGACTTAACATATCCAACGCGTTCATTGTACATGTTCGGTATAAACAGTTTCAGAAAAGTACGTACGTGACGGTAGGTCGTATCTAGGGTCTAAAACACGAATCATATCCTTAAATCCATCATTTGAGACAACACTAAACGGTCGAAGATCATTAACAATGAATTTTCCGACGGCTTGCGTTATGTCCTTATACCGCTGACTTGTAGGCTTGTATTTGGAAGTCTGCCCAAAAGAACTCATTATTGTCGGCTGCTTTACGGTTGACGCTGTTGCCGCGATCAAACTAGTACCAGACTTGCATGCACCTTGTTGCAGATTGATTTTGTGGTGTCTAGTTAAATGTGTATTTAGATTTGTGGTCCCTCCGCTATAGCGAATATCCATCTTACATTTTTTACAAACGGCTATGCCGTCCTCAATTTTTCCTGTAGATTTTCTTTTTTTTAAGTTGAATTCCACCCATATTTTACTTTTAGCTTTCTCATTTTCAATTAGTTCAAAATCTTCTTTTTCCATTTTTTTATTTCAGTCAATCAACAATTTTAATCAGTCCTAACTTAAATTGCGTAACTGTGTGTAATTTAATAAAGCATGATCAAAGCCGCACTCTGAAAATGACGTCACACGATTCTGCTACTCGCGCGGTAAGATCAAAGAGCTTCGTCAGGAAAAGTTCGCGGCGGCGTTTCTTTATACATCACAGGGATCGACTAGTGTCGGCAATCTTTTCATGTTTCATTGATGTTTTGTTTTTGATGTCGTAAATCGTTGCTTACTGATTCAAAATTGAAGTTTCTACATTCATGTTATTTCGGCATAAATATTAAAGAAAAAACCGCAATACAGGGCAGCTGCACCGCGGTACGTATCGACCCGAGACTGTATTGCAATATACCGGTATACCGGTATATCGTTGCACCACTACTAAAATGACGTTGCTAGAACTTTTACCAAATATAACATCGTGGGTTTTCCTTTACGAGGAAAC